TTGTAACGTGAAAAATTGACGACAGTAGTTCTCCAAGTTCTTACCTTAAGATCTCGAGGAACGACCCAAGCTTCGATGAGTTTCGCATTCGATTTTTGGTAAATGGAGGGGAAGAAGCTCGATTTACGAACGCAAAAAAAAAAGCTGAGCTGAGATGTACAATTTTGAGAATGCTATATAAATTTTACGAAAAATAAGCCTCTCTTACATCGCGATTTATAATTAACTTTATTACCTCTCGACCAATCTCTAATACTCATTCATCGTCTGATCAGAGAAAACTCTCTCAACCTTTCGATACTGACAATCCCACCTCTTCGTCCATCAACTCTTCACGCGACCTAATTTCCCTTCTCGAAGAAAAACCAACGTGAAGAATAAATTCCCACGAGAACCTTCGAACGTAATGATCACCACTGATGTGACATACATATATATACATACATACATACATACACAGGACAGGTGGAGACAAAGAGAGAGATAGAGAGCGAGAGAGGATGAGAGCAGACGCGCTCTGGAACCGCTTACCTCTTTGATCTTCTCGCGGCGCTGATTAGTCACGTCATCCAGGGGTGGATTAGGCGGTTTAATGACGTAGGGCCCGGGGACGGGGAGCGGCGGGGGTCCGACCGCGGATGGCTCCGACTGTCTCTGCCTCGAGTCCACCCATCGATCCTTATCTTCGAGGGGTTTCGCCTCGTCCTGGCCCGGGATCACGTTACTCTGCACCCATGCGGGGTTCGCTTGCTGCTGCTCGTTGCTGCTGCGCTCCTCGGGCGCCCCTCCACGCTCCACCACGTTCGCGAGATCACGACGCGTGACGAACGTGCCGGTGAGAAGGACGATCAGTATCACGGACAGGAGTCCGCTGATCGCCAACCTCTGCATCAGCCGCATCTCGTCCAGGCACTTGCTGCACTCCCACAAGCCGCCCGGAGTTGCAGATGTTTCGCTCGTATTGGCGGAGCTGTGCGTGGAACACGTTACATGTGGTGTGTGTGTGTGTGTGTACAGAGGATTTTGGGTCTTGGAATTTTTTTTTCTTTCTTTTCTTTTTTCTCGAAATTTTTTCTCGAACGATGTACGTACGATGGTCGTTGGTTAGTAGTATATCGTTTATTATTATTCATTTTTAGGGATTTACACGAGTCGATTACGATACGATATGAAAGATTGAAAAGTGATGTTGGAATTGAAGTATCCTCTTCGATTTGAGGATAGTTGGTTTATATTGGGATGAATAGAAAGTAGGATCTTTAGGTAGATACGTACAAGATATCGAGATTCTGGGGATGGTAGCAAACTTTGTTATGTATATATTAAGCCTATAAAGTTTATTTTAGATGAAGTTTATATAGTTTTGGTTAAGTTGATTATCAATTTTATTATAATTAACGTTAAATTTCAAGGATTATGCAAACTTATTATAGGTAGATTAATGGTATAGGTAGTCGAATGCAAATTCTTTGGACCCCTTATCAACTGTGAATATGTAAATCTACGGATACCCGCTTCCGTATAATTATTCCACATAACAAAGTTTAAATCCTTAATTTTTTACAAGGAAAATTCGACAACTCGAAAGACAAGCTTGGAAATCTATTTGACTTTCCATCACTCGAATTCTCAAATCGCCAAATTTTCCTCTTACTTATATCTTCACTTCTCAAATCGACCATTGACCATAAAATCTACCAAAAAAAAAAAAAAAAAGAAGAAAAGAAAAGAAAAAAAAAA